ACAATGATACAACACTCCCTAGCAACATCAACAATGACACAACACTCCCTAGTAACATCAATGATATAACACTCCCTAGCAACATCAACAATGATACAACACTCCCTAGCAACATCAACAATGATACAACACTCCCTAGCAACATCAACAATGATACAACACTCCCTAGTAACATCAATGATACAACACTCCCTAGCAACATCAACAATGATACAACACTCCCTAGCACCATCAACAATGATACAACACTCCCTAGCAACATCAACAATGATACAACACTCCCTAGCAACATCAACAATGATACAACACTCCCTAGCACCATCAACAATGATACAACACTCCCTAGCAACATCAACAATGATACAACACTCCCTAGCAACATCAACAATGATACAACACTCCCTAGCAACATCAACAATGATACAACACTCCCTAGTAACATCAATGATACAACACTCCCTAGCAACATCAATGAAAACACACTCCCTAGATAACAAATGATATAACACTCCCTAGCAACATCAACAATGATACAACACTCCCTAGAAACCCATCAACAATGATACAACACTCCCTAGCAACATCAACAATGATACAACACTCCCTAGCAACATCAACAATGATACAACACTCCCTAGCAACATCAGTGATACAACACTCCCTAGCACCATCAACAATGATACAACACTCCCTAGCAACATCAGTGATACAACACTCCCTAGCACCATCAACAATGATACAACACTCCTAGCAACATCATGATACAACACTCCCTAGCACATCAACAATGATACAACACTCCCTAGCAACATCAACAATGATACAACACTCCCTAGCAACATCAACAATGATACAACACTCCCTAGCAACATCATGATACAACACTCCCTAGCACATCAACAATGATACAACACTCCCTAGCAACATCAGTGATACAACACTCCCTAGCACCATCAACAATGATACAACACTCCCTAGCAACATCAACAATGATACAACACTCCCTAGCAACATCAACAATGATACAACACTCCCTAGCAACATCAGTGATACAACACTCCCTAGCACCATCAACAATGATACAACACTCCCTAGCAACATCAGTGATACAACACTCCCTAGCACCATCAACAATGATACAACACTCCCTAGAAACATCAACAATGATACAACACTCCCTAGCAACATCAACAATGATACAACACTCCCTAGCAACATCAACAATGATACAACACTCCCTAGCAACATCAACAATGATACAACACTCCCTAGCACCATCAACAATGATGCAACACTCCCTAGCAACATCAATGATACAACACTCCCTAGCACATCAACAATGATACAACACTCCCTAGCAACATCAACTGATACAACACTCCCTAGCAACCATCAACAATGATACAAACTCCCTAGCACATCACAATGATACAACACTCCCTAGCAACATCAACAATGATACAACACTCCCTAGCAACATCAACAATGATACAACACTCCCTAGCAACATCAACAATGATACAATACTCCCTAGCACCATCAACAATGATACAACACTCCCTAGCACCATCAACAATGATACAACACTCCCTAGCAACATCAACAATGATACAACACTCCCTAGCAACATCAACAATGATACAACACTCCCTAGCAACATCAACAATGATACAACACTCCCTAGCACCATCAACAATGATACAACACTCCCTAGCACACAACAATGATACAACACTCCCTAGCAACCCATCAACAATGATACAACACTCCCTAGCAACATCAACAATGATACAACACTCCCTAGCAACATCAAAAAGTGATACAAACTCCCTAGCAACATCAACAATGATACAACACTCCCTAGCAACATCAACAATGATACAACACTCCCTAGCAACATCAACAATGATACAACACCCCCTAGCAACATCAGTGATACAATCCCACCTAGCACATCAACAATGATACAACACTCCCTAGAAACCATCAGTGATACAACACTCCCTAGCACCATCAACAATGATACAACACTCCCTAGCAACATCAACAATGATACAACACTCCCTAGCAACATCAACAATGATACAACACTCCCTAGCAAACACATGATACAACACTCCCTAGCACCATCAACAATGATACAACACTCCCTAGCAACAATCAGTGATACAACACTCCCTAGCACATCAACAATGATACAACACTCCCTAGCAACATCAACAATGATACAACACTCCCTAGCAACATCAACAATGATACAACACTCCCTAGCAACACAGTGATACAACACTCCCTAGCACCATCAACAATGATACAACACTCCCTAGCAACATAAAAGTGATACAACACTCCCTAGCACCATCAACAATGATACAACACTCCCTAGAACATCAACAATGATACAACACTCCTAGCAACATCAATGATACAACACTCCCTAGCACCATCATCAATGATACAACACTCCCTAGCAACATCAACAATGATACAACACTCCCTAGCACATCAACAATGATGCAACACTCCCTAGCAACATCAACAATGATACAACACTCCTATGCAACATCAACAATGATACAACACTCCCTAGCAACATCAACAATGATACAACACTCCCTAGCAACATCAACAATGATACAACACTCCCTAGCACCATCAACATGATACAACACTCCCTAGCAACATCAACAATGATACAACACTCCCTAGCAACATCAACAATGATACAACACTCCCTAGCAACATCAACAGTGATACAATCACTCCCTAGAAACATCAACAATGATACAACACTCCCTAGAAACCATCAACAGTGATACAACACTCCCTAGCAACATCAACAATGATACAACACTCCCTAGCAACATCAACAGTGATACAACACTCCCTAGCACACATCAACAATGATACAACACTCCCTAGAAACCATCAACATGATACAACACTCCCTAGCAACATCAACAATGATACAACACTCCCTAGCAACATCAACAATGATACAACACTCCCTAGCAACATCAACAATGATACAACACTCCCTAGCAACATCAACAGTGATACAACACTCCCTAGCAACATCAACAATGATACAACACTCCCTAGCAACATCAACAGTGATACAACACTCCCTAGCAACATCAACAATGATACAACACTTTTGAGAGAGATTTTTATACGTATTTACATTTCGAATAAAGTCGCTGCTCACCCTGAAAATTAACCAACATCACATGACAGACACTTTTGAGGCCAAAGTCGCTTGTTTCGCGCAAGAGCTCGGAACGTTTCTCATCCTGGGAGTATCACCAGCAGTTTTTGAAGCTCAAATCTATTTAAATAACATAAAAAAAGTAAGTACTCATCCGTATGGGTGGTCCTGTGGAATAAAACACTGTTAAAAGACTAACTACTGAAAGGTAAACAACAAGTTAAAAAATGGTAAAAAATAAACATTGGTAGATTACAGTAATTAAGACTAAATATCAGAGGATGAGCGTTGCTCAGAAGAAGCGTAAGAAAGGAAAGCTCAACTTAAAAGAACCTACAAGCAGGTGTTGAGGACTTGATCCCCAGGAACGTCAGGTGAGGGTACGTTCATCTGGGTGGACCAGGCACTAAACGGACGCGCAGGTAAGCATTCTAGTCTCAAGTATATATATATATATATATATATATATATAATATATATATATATATATTATATATATATATATATATATATATATATATATATATATATATATATTCCTGGCAGTGCAGATGCACTTCCAGAACCTTTCATTGAAGGGAGTGGAGTTCCAACTATAGCAAGCCAGTATGTTATCCTTAGGTTGGAACAACACTCCGCTTAATGGGTTGTTGACAGTGATGGTGTCCTCACAATTTCACGAGTCATTGTGTACAACAAGAGGGTAAGTTAAGAGCTGTGTTGACAGATGCAGTTGAATGATAAGACATAACATGAGGTTTATGACATTTTACTGCGAAGACGTTTCGCCCACCAGGCGAAACGTCTGCCCTGGTGGGCAAAACTTATTAAAAAAATGCGATAACCCACATACCGTGCCTTCTTAACACATGTACCGGTATATAACACCATTCATATACAGATATAGTTGGGGTCTCAGTGAGAGATCAATTAAATGAATGGTAATAAAGCACTGTACGGCCTGACCAAGTCAAACCATACATCATCAACAACAACTATGAACACTGTGGGATGTAACTATCATATAGCAGACTCCTGTTCAAAACCTCGAAAAACCCATTGATAACAAGTAAAGTTTGGGCATTGCAGTTGCGCTTTATTTATAATTAATTGCCTACATCATATGAATATTCCCAAGACGATACCAAATAATAAGAAAAAGCGTGAAAATAGTCAAATTGGTAGTAACTTAGCTAAGTGGGAACAAGGGGTCATATATGGAATATATTGTGTTTAGCGCTTTTTTTTTATTATAATAATATAAGGGAATATATTGTATAATCAATCATAACTGTATACTGATCAGTCAGTATATTACAGTGTTCAACAGGAAAAATCTCAAAATTTAGGCAGGTTGGGTTCTATAGATATTTTTGTGGAGCGCAGGAAATATAGTGACTGAGTAAAACCTCAACAGTCTTGTATTATGGGATTGTCTATTGTACCTAATTCATGTCTGCATAAATAACTCATCACATGTGTGACCAGATGTAAACGTGTAAATAGTTCATTACCAAGTGCTGTGACTTGTTCAACTATCAAAACTTTGCGGCTGAGTCTCTGCACCCATTATGTACCTCTGTAATTTTCTGACTACCACCCACACGATGGGTAAGAGGTGCATAATAAAGATATCGTTACCATCACAGTCTTAAAATCGTACTCGGATGTCTGGTTTAACAACTATGATGATAAATGCTTCCCTGCAGCGTCCTGAACGAAAAAAATAAAAATGAAAAAGAATAAAAGGTAGAAAGCCATCGTCCCCTTGAAGACATCCACAGTGCCATACTTGGGCGCAATGTCGGCACCCTGGCACAGGAAGGTGCCAATGATAAACCACAAGGAGTTAAGAAGTGTGAAGCTGTTCTCCAGTTCCTCTGGTTCCTCGATACATGGATAGGGACAGTCCCACTCATCCGGGGACATC